TCTCCCACCTTGCTCATAGGACAAAAATCAGCCTTACCTTGACAACCCTATGGTAGCAGAAAAACCTATGGTTTCAGAATAATTGGTTTAAAACCGTAAAACGCCGAAAAAAGGTAATATAGCGTTAATTGGCTTTTTAGGGGTTTTTCGAGGATTGAGGGGAGTTTATGGAGCTCTGCTAAGAGGTTGAAGATTACAATATGTAGGCTTTGTATCAGGCTTCCTTCGATGGTCAATTCGGTTACACTGAGGGTAGGATCGATATCATAAGCTATTCCGGTACATACGCCCAGCTGGAGTACTTAATCAAATATAGATGATCGCTCAGACCTCAGACCGGTGGCATTCCGGCTCGTGCAGCTTCTGTGTGCCCCTTGTTGGGCGATTTCGGGCTCGGCCTTTCTCCACAGGTCGGTGCGCCCGCCATCCCAGCCCTGCATCATGAGCACTCCAGATTTGCATTGTGCTGCCTGCTTGCTTTACCCGAAATGCGATCGGCAGCTGGGTTCGAGTGCTCGAAGATCCTTTGAAGGGTTGCTAGTGTTGTTGAGCGTTTCATCCATGGCTGCCAAGATGTTGGCCACTTGCTCCTTGCGGAGTGTGTCACTAGCACACAAAGAAGGACCACATTTTGCAGCAGTCATGAGCATCGAGTTTAGGACCATCTGTAAGCTAGATCCTGTAACACATCCGAAGGATTGCTCCAGCTCCCAGACGACTTCTGGAATGCAGCAGCAGAGGCGATCTACTCGCAGCCAGAGGCCCTCTGGTTGATTGCTGTTAAATAATATTGGGCCCCCAAATAGACAGGTATGTAATAGAGTAGATTATATTATGTATATATAGTGCAAAGATTGACGGAGCAAGACTATATCTTCAGACGTCCTTTTCCGAGGCTAAGAATATGGTTCTAGGAATGTAAGTGGGTGGAGGGATGATGTTTGTGTCAGGAAAACATAGATTAAATCAAATCCTACTATGGTGCAGCCAGCATAGAAAACAGCCCAAAAAGATGAGAACGAATGTTTTTCATTCTACACACGACAACCCTAATATGGGCCATAGAGCAGGACTTGCCATCGGCTGACCAGCTTATGCTGGACATCCTTGAGAACATCAAATATGATGGCATTTGCAAGCATTTCGTGGATCTTTTCAGGGAAGGTCAAGGTGTCACGGCTTAAGTATACCGTTGTAAGGTGATGTTTGGTTTATATTTTTTAAAGCCTAAACCCTTGAACCTTGTGTTTGAACCCTAAACCCTTTGGAGCCCTCAACCCAGCGAAGTGCTTTTTCCCAGTCGGAGCTGAGGAAATGTGGTGCGCGAGCGGCCAGCTGCCTGACATGTGACGTCAAGATGGATGCTGTGTTAGTCGGGTCTTGGGCCTCGGGGATTCGCTGGAATACATGCAGTGCAGTTGACTTATGAAGTGCAACGGAAGCCTGCACGGATCCAGCAGTCGATCTGACAAAGCCACACCGGGGAAAATTTAGAAAGCTGAATTGGATGCTGGAGTTCAATCATCCAACCGAACAATCTAACTAAGCTGCAGAACGCCCTCGCAGGTCAGCTGATGAAATGTCGACTCTTTGAAGGCCTGCTTTTCGTTATTGGAGGGAAATTACTTAATGTCGGATGCCTCGCCACGCAGGCTGCGCAGGGCGGCTGCCTTTGAGGTCGGGCCTCGCTCGTTCGTCGAATGTTTGCAAGCTAGTCTGTGTAATCATAATGGGCAGGCTTGGCTTCCTTTGCTGCAGCTTCGTGATTTTGGGAGTTTTTTCCCTTCTCGGGCTGGGGGCCTACAATGCTTTGATTGGCTACAGACTAGTATAATACACATCCTCCGCCTCGAAACCTAGGTCCTTCTGGTGGGCCAGTGCCACGACATCCTGTGCAGGCCCCAACGACACAAAGCTCCAGATTACCCATCGAGATCACAATCCCTTGCATGCAGGTGGCTCCGTCGTGACCCGGCAAGTTTGCTGCCTTGGACTCAGGAGCAAGACTTTAGCTCGCAAACTCGGTGGCATGCATTGCTTCACTGCTTGAGTTGTGCTACTCTCCTAAAGGGCTCAGGCTGAGTGTGCTATAGGGCTGAGGGACTGGGCCATGGCTGATGCTCCGGAAGTGGGTGCCCAGGGAGCCCCGCTTCGTGTGAGGCGACCGTCGATGATTTGGCCCGACAAGGGCTTGTTATCCCAAGCGTGGGAAAGTGATACTGAGGTCCGTCAGTGTTTCCGGGCCGCCAAATCACACTTGCTGGTCTGGCCCAGTGTGCAGTTGGTGGGGGCAGTTAGCATGAAGGCACTTTCCATGAATGTGCCAGCTGTCAAAGTGGCCTTGCAGATTTGGGGAGATTTCAGCGAGGATTGCAAGGCCATGCCTATCGACTGGTTGAAACAGGAGGCTCCTCAACTGAAATCGATAGCTGCACGACAAGCCCAGGTTAATTGTTCAGTGAAGGCATGTAGGATTGTAGTGCAAGCCTGCTTGAGGTTCAGGAGTTACACCTGTTGCTCAACCCGGCCACCACGAACCGTGCGGTTGCTGTGTATGTCGATGCATGGGGTGTGAAGAGACTGTCGAGCCTAGCTATGCGTCGATGGCGATCCCCCATTGGACAACTGCGAGATTCTCTGCATAATTTCCATTAAGCTCTAGCTAGCTAGTGTGCCCTGCCCATATACAACGAACCCAGGATCCTATAGCTTACCTTATATATCTTCTAAACCCACATAGACCTTTGATATAGTTATATCACAAAGCCTTATAGGTGAATGTTTCCCTATAGTCCAGCAGCTAGCTAGAATTTGTTCAGTCGATTATGCCAAGGACCGCAATTTGCACGTATTGTTCGAGATTATGACACAATCGTGGGGTCAAGATCCTTATCTGGAAAACGGTATTGACGAGGACAATGAGGAAGCTGCTGAGGGGCTAGATGGAGAGCCTTTGGAGGAGCCCGAACCGGCAGCCCCAAGTGAAGCTGACCGAGGTGCTGGTCCATCGCCAGGAGCCGCCGACAGCGCGGCTGGTGCAGAGCCAGCAGAGGCAGCCGGGGCAGAGGAAGCCTTGGATCCAGAAGATGAGTTAGCTTCTATTCAGTGGCAGTTACAAGTCATGGAGAATCCTAGCGGAAATCATTGTGCTTGATATCTTGTACGGGTGGCTTGCATCTTTTAATCCCAACCTTTCGAATCATCCCGGTAGCCTCAGGAATGCTTTGGAGTCCCAGCGACGACGCCGACTTGGACAACAAACAGCTAGCTCCTTGACTACTACATAGATCGTGACTCCTGAACATCCATGCAAACATAGACCTGCACATATTGACCATGCTTCTGTTGGTGTCCTGATGCAACAGCTTAGAAGATGTTACCAATGTGGACACCTGCCCCGTCGACATCATGGGTTTGGCAGCCTTTGATGAGGCTATGGTGTGTATCAGTGATGATGAGGATGCCGAGCTTGATGATGGTGCGAGTGTCCACACACGTGCTTACAGCAGGGCTGGTGAGGAAGTTCCCCCGGAGGCTCGGTTTGGGGGTTTCTAAGCGCAGTCAACTCCCTTCTACCATTCGAAGCCACCATGCAAGACCCTCCTAGGGTGAACCCAAACCCTAAACCTTAAACCCTGAATCCCAAACCGTATAAATCCTAAACCCTAAA